GCAGCCACCGTGGGCACTGTAGTTGTGCGGTGCCTGGCACCGCCTCTGTTCGGCCGTCATCGGCCGGTCGTCCCCGCCGCAGGCTATGAGAGGCGAGGCCGGCCGGCCGCTGGACCAAATAGACACTTCATAACGGGAGGCCTGTGTGTTCACTTCGATGGTGACCGGGATGGGATGGCGTCTGTCGGTAAAGCGGCGGGGCCTGACTCGGCGATGGAGTCGTTTGGTGCGCACGGTGGGCGTCCCGATCAATATTTTGAGGCTAATGGCGTAAAGATGGGCATTATTGCGAGACGGCGAGCCATGTTTCTGCGTGCGGTTGGCGCAGGCACTTCCGAGTTACTAGAAGATCTGATAGCCCTTGTAATGGTACGAGGGAGGTCCTACAAAGATCTTGTTAATGTTTTGTGTGACCATTTTGAGCCACAACAGTGGGTTATTTTATCAACTTTCCGGATACGTTCGTGCCTGCATAATGCCAGTGAATCTGTCACTTTCGCAACCGGCAAGATTGCGCAAGCTGACTAAGTCTTGCGAGTTTGACTCAGCTGTGCTGGATGAAATGCTCCGTGACCGCTTCGTGTGCGGGATCCAGCACTAACGGCTGCAGTCTCAGCTGCTGAGGGACGCCCTGCTGGCGGTGCGGGCGATCGTGGCGGCGAGAGCGATCCGTATTTCCCGTTTTGAGTCCCGTCAGTCCCAGTGGGGGAATATCGTAAACCGCCTTTGGTGGTTAACATGGTGGTTGCCGGTCAACCTATGCAACAAGGAGTCGGACACGGGGAGTAGCGCTCTCTGTTTGCTATGACCAGGATTTTAAGCACGTGTGGCCAGTGAATGGGCCTGACATAAAGACATGCAAAAAAAAACTCTAAAAACGCATATTGGGGAAGTGTTGTTGTTGTGAGGCCAAATGATGACGGAATGTTTGCTAATTGGAAGCAGCGCGCACAGCTGCCGTTGATTGTGGTCAATGGCGAGGGTCCGTTCCTGTTTGGACGTAACTGGCTGTCACATTTAAAGCTGAATTGGCCTTCCAAATGCCGTGTGGCAGGTGACTGTCAGACCAACAGCGCCTTGACCGAGTTTTCAGAAGTTTTCAACGAGGGTTTAGGCCGTCACCAAGGAACAGAGACAAATATCTCTGTGGGCCCGGACGTAAAACCAATGTCCTCCAAGGTTCGAAATGTTCCACTGGCTTACCGCGACCAGGTGGAAGCGGAGCTGGACAAACGGATCCAACAGGGGCTTTGGGAGCCCGTCGAGCACAGTAAGTGGGCGGTTCTTTTAGTTGCACCGAAACCAGAGGGAAAGATTAGTTTGTGTGGCGACTTCAGGCTCAGGGTGAGCAATGTCGCCAAAGTTGAACAGTATCCGTTACCACGTGTCGAGGAGCTGCTGCCCAGGTAAACTGGTAGCAGTGTTCTCTAAGATTGACTTAAGGTCTGCTTATCATCAAATGGTTTCGGATGACAAAGCGCGTAAGTGTCCTGACGGTGAACGCGTCGAAAGGGCTGCTGCAGCCCATACGCCTAAGTTTCAGCTGCACCTCAGTGCCGTCTCTATTTCAAAGAGCCATTGACATGCTGTTAGCAGGCATGCCTGGTGTCTGCGCGTTCATGGATGGCGTGGCCGTAGCGGGCAAGATGCTGGAAAGTCGCGACGTGGCGTTACGTCAGGTTCTGGCCAATGCTAGGCAAATGCTAGGCAGGCTGGATGATAGCGGGTCTGAGGCAAACAGAGGAAAACGTTACTTTCGGATGGGAAGTGTGGACATACTTGGGTCGCAGTCAATGGGAAAGGTATGGAGACCACGGATGATAAGGTCGCGATCATAACGGGATGCTCCAGAGACGTGAGATGTCTCCCGAACTTCGTCGCTGATAGGAGCTAATAAACTATTATGGCAAATTTTTGCACAGGTTGGCGACCACGCTCTCACCGTTGTACGTTTCGCTCCGAAAAAAGCAGCCGTAGCGGTGGAAGGCCGCGGAGCGGAGGGCTTTTGAGGACGCAAAACGTCTTATCAAGAATCCTCCCGTCCTGGTTCATTTTGATCCGAAGCTGCCGGTGGTTTTGGCTTGCGATGCGAGCCCGGTCGGGACTGGGCTGTGCTCACAGCCAGCAGACGAGGCATGGGGAGTGGCCGGTAGCTTTTTACTCGCATTCCCTGAATGAATCCGAGAAACGCTATTCTCAGGACCGACAGAGAAAGCTTGGCAGTGATCGCAGAAATTAAAAGTTACATCGTCGTCTGGCTGGCCGTCACGTTTTTGGTGCGGACAGATCATAAGCCGCTGTTTGGGGCCGATCGATCGACAAGATGAAGCTATTTTCGTTGACGGCTTCGCCTCGTGTGATTCGGTGGGTCCTGATGTTGGGTGTGTATGATTATCATTTGGAGTTGGTCCCCAGGATCCGGTACGCGCACTGTGGTGCACTCAGCAGGCTTTCCTCGCCAGAAAAGGCTAGTCCATCGAGCCCTGAGCCTGCTGAGACCATCCATCGGAAGGAGTTTTTGGATGATGAGTTTCAGCAGATTAGGTTCGCCTATTAACTTCTCGTGATCCTGTTCTGTCAGTTGTGGATGCAAAATATTAGAAATGACTGGCCGACAACCAGCAACGCGCTGTCGCCGCGTTTTCGGCCGTATAAATATCGGCTGTATGAGCTGAGTGTCCGGGATGGCTGCCTTCTGAGGGGATCTCGCATGGTTGTCCCACCTCAGGCAATGGAAAGATTTCTGAAATTGCTCCGTGACGGTCATTATAGAGAAATATACACAAAGTCGCTCGCTCGTATGTACGTTTCGTGGCCTAATGTTGATGACGCACGGCCATTTCGTAGGGATGAGGAAAGTGTCAGGCACATCACAGTAGCGTGCCCTAAGTCCCCTTGCACCCCTGGGTTTGGCCCGAAAAAACCCTGGAAGCGCGTTCGTTTTGATTATTGTGATCCAGTCGATGGTTGAATGTTTTCATCATAACTGACGCACATTCCAGGCGGTTTGATATCTACCCTTCCCTGGCATGTACATCAGAGACCACAGCCAAACATTTCCGCTTTTTATTTGCTTGCTGGGGCTGCACAAAACGCTTGCGTCAGACTATGCAGACTGTTTCATCTCTGAAGCTTTCCAGGCAGTCTGTTGATCGAACGGAGCAGTGCATCTGACATCACCGGAACTGTCATTAAAATAAAACGGTTTGTCAGAGCTCAGTGATCAAGCGTTTAAAGCGAGTTTACGTAAACAAGCCGCTGGTAGTGTTCACACCAAAATATCCCGTCTCCTATTTCGCTATCGTGGTACACTGCACAGAACAACGCACATTACCCCGACTGAGCTGCTTCTGGGTAGATATGTACGCACGCGTCTGCATCTTTTGAAACTTGATGTTGGGGACAGAGTAAGGAGAGATCAGGAGAGGCAGAAACGACATGCAGATCGGGGTTCTAAGCAGCAGTGTGTGCGGGTAGGAGATGCGGTATATGTGTCGGCGGCGGATCGTGTTGGAGGTGCGGAAGGAGTAGGTGGCTTGCGGGTGTTGTAATGGAGCAAAATGGAGTGGAACTGGCTGTCCAATTCCAGGATGGCAGGGTCACCTGGAGGCATTTGGACCCTGTACGCCCTTTTTTGGACATAATTGAGTTTGAGGTACCATCACGTATTGTCAGTCAACTCAGCCCAGACTCATCGCTTGCATTGAGCCATTTGACTCGTGACTCACACGGCTGGCAAACCAAAGATAGCTGTTCCATATTTGTTTAATTGACTAAGCCCAAACCCATTGGCTGCATTGAGCCATTTGACCTGTGACTCACACGGCTTGCAAATCAAAGAACCGGTAAAATTTTGACTTGTATATATATAATTTATAAGATTAGATATAGATATAGATTAATATATATATATATATACACAAGTCCAGTAATCTCTATATATAGATATAATATATATATATCTCTATATATATATATATCTTATATATATATA